GCTGAAACATCATGCAAAAACAAAGGACAGAAGCAAAGATGAGTTCTTTTGAGCTTAAAAAGAAGCTTCTTCCAGTTTCAGAGAACTATCCCCTTTAGTTTGTACTGATGCAAACCAGAGTAGCCATGCTGTTTCTGCAATAACCACAGCAAACTGGGGTCAAGACCTGCTAGGCAGCTCTGGCCCAAGGCCCATCATCTCTGCAGCACCAAGCACACCTTATACTTGCTGGGATCTTTCCCTCTCTTGCTTCCAGAGCCTTTCACGTGCAGCTTGCCCAGAGCAGCCAGCCTGCAGCAGGCAGACCAGCGCTGCATCCTACAGCGACAGCCCCAGCACTCCAGCAGCAGCAGTAGCTGCCTGCCAAATTACCCAACCAAGCAAAATAGAAACTGCCTGATAAAGAAGTTATCAGGAAAAAACCCAGCATAACTCCCTTGCTTGCCTCAGCAAAGGATCCTTCTGTCTGAACCCCATCTCATCGGGATGCATCACTGGTCCCCCAAAGAGGACAAAGTTTCTCAAATGCTCCACTTGCTGTCATTTTTAATTTCACTGCCCCATGCGCTTGGTATCTTTTTCCTCTCATAGTTCCAGTACATGGAGATAAAGAAATTTAAAGCAGTATCTCAATATGGGGCCTCTGACATCTAAGCTGGGAGAAGGGGACTCTGGGAATGTCCAAAACTCTTTATCCCACAAGCACTGGTGAGACTCTGAGTGATTATTTCTTCTACATTGTGCTCTCTGCAGCCTTTTTGCACCTCCCTTTCACAACATTTCAGTCCTTTTCCCTGTCTTTCTTCTAGGTCTGTCCCAAGGGACACCCACTCCTACACTAAAACCATGCCACAGACAAGAATGGAAAGTCTTTGGAAGGTACCAGAAAGCTATGAGAGTCAGCCAGGACTCTGGCAACAGCCTTGAAGTCAGAATGAACACTGAACATGGGAGAGTGCTCTTCTTGGGAACCTTCCCAGACCTTCAGCCTGCATGAGTAAGCCAGCAAAGAACACAGGCAGGAAGAGAGCAGGAGATGCATTACCTCCTCAGCACCAGCTCCCTTAACAGATCCGCGTCCTGCCAGCTGCAGCAGAGTCCAACCCTCCCTTTTTTCTAATTCCTCAGAATATCTTAAAGATCAGGAGGAAAAAATCTGAGTGATCCCAAGGGGACAATCCCTTCATCCTCTGCCAAGAACTCATACCCCGTCACCAGGCAGCTCCCCTGTTCCAAAAGGCAAACAAAGAGAAGAAAAATCTGTATTGCCATCATCCCCGCTGTAACCTCGCAGAACATGGTCAGAGCACTCTGAGCCAAGCAACAGAGGAGAGGTAAATGTACCTCCCAAGTCACCTGGAAAAACCTCCTCCAGAATAAGACATCAAAGAGTTGCATAGGGATAGTCACACTATATTTTTGAGCCATGAAATTCTCAGGCCTCGCATCAGGAAGAATCAGAAATTGTCACCAAAAACAAATACCCTCCCTCACCTCACCTTTTTCTCGCTACGTGTACACCCTACAGTACCCTGCAATCCTCTTTACCTCCTGCTGATGTTCAATTCCATACCCACTGCCCTAGTGAAGGAAGCCGAGCGTGGACAGACTGCAATTTCATTGAAAACCGAAGGTAAACAAAGCCTTGCAAATAACTCACCCCTCATTAAAATGCTCAGACACGGCAGCTGGCCCATCCTGCTGATATACAATCCCTCTGTAGTTCTTCATTACCACTCCCCAATTTTTCAAAGCCATTCTGTCACACACATACACACAAGCTCTCCAGAGGAGCCACCAGAAATAGACTTTGAGGTGTAAAAGTTACCACCAAAGAATGAGCTCTTTGATCAGTTGTGGAATGTCAAGTAAGAGGTGGGATGCAAAAGCCGTTATACCACCTCCTTTCCTTGGAGTCAAGAGATTCTAAAGACAAAAAAAGTCAAACCAAAATGGACAATCCTCAGAGAACAGAATGCAGCAGAAACTGAGTAAGCTGGGGCAGTCTCTGCACACTTGGCATCTCCACCCAGATGGTGGGTCTCCTGTGTCTGCCTGGGGAGTTACAGAGCTCCACCCTCCCGCCGAAGAGTTGAATTAGCAGGTAAAGCAGCAAAAGAACTGGCATCCCAAAGATTCACGCCCACCTCATTTTCTGCATGAGATATTGTCTTCTGCAGGGAGAGAGGAGGGTTCTAGCTCATGGATCCGGAGAAGAGGATCCTGCCCTTTCCTCCTCCATCTAGGCCTCCACTGTCCCACTGATGGCTCTGCCACCTTCCTGCTCCTCAAAGACCGCAACCCTTTTCCCTTGCTGCATTCATCAATGACTTTAAACCTTTCTTAAACCCTTTTTTTCTGGACTATAAACTACTGAAGTCAAGGCCTCCTTCCATCCACACTTAGGCTAGAGCCTTAATCCCAGCTGCAGTCTGCTGGCAGTGCAGGGAGCATCCACGTGTACAGCTTCAGTTATTACAGCGGAAAGCAGGCTTATCCCACCAGGTAAAGACACTCATGGTGAAAGTCCAGCGTGCTATGAACAGACATACATGCACCGAGGACTCAAAGCTCAAAGTGTGCTGAGCTTTCTGGACCTAAGTCACCAACACATGCAAGTAGGAATTTAACTACAGGATACTGGTGGGCTTGTACAGCTATAACACTGCCTCTCCCTGCTCTCTTCAGCCAAGCTGATGAGTTGGAGCAGATTCAGGTACTTCTATATATGTGCTACATCTTCAACTTACGTAGAAGAGGCCCTTCATTTGTTTCACTGGAGTCATTGGATGAAAGCTAATCATACAGCTTAAGTGCTCTGCTGAGCCAAAGGTGAAGTGTTCAGAAACTTGCAAAAGCAATACTGAGATATACAGAATTTCTGCAGGAAGGAAAGAGTTGACTTCTCTGTTATTGGACTACTGAGACGAACAAAAAGGAGCCGAATTTTCCACTCTCAACATTTTTATAGGATAGCACTCTTCCTACCATGGTTATTTATAAAGAAATGTTACAGAGTGTGTTAAATTATACACTGCAGAATTTCAAAAGAGGACTTAAAAAATTATGATTCTTTTTTTCCCCTCTTCTATAAACATTAAAGTAATTTCTAGGGAACTTTATTTATTTCCAAGTCAGTATTTAAGCATCCCATAAGGATTGTGGTATATCCATGTGTACCTCTTGCTGCTTGATTCTTATCTGCAGCAACTAAATTTGCTTGGATTTAAATACAATCTCAAGCCTGATACACCAAGGGGGCAGTGGGTATGAGAAGGCTTCCCTGAAGAGCTTACAGATATGTTACAAGCACAGAGAGGGCTTAAGCGCTGGTCTGGGGAGCCTGACAGTGGCACATTATCCAGGAGTCACATCAGCTCCATTTCCGTGTTCTCCTTATCTACAGTCAGAGAGAGGAATGAGCAACTAGGAGCACCCACAAGGCTGAGTAAAACAACAGCTTTGTAAGTGCGCATCAGAGAGGCTCCTACTCCTTGGCTTTGACCAGGGCTCCCCAGGTCTCAGGCACCTGAACAGATCTGCCATTTCCCCTCATCTCCATCAGAGATTCTCTTTCTGGCCTGAATGTGACCCCACAGGTACTATGAGGGCACTACAAAGTGAGCAGGAGACGACACTTCTCCCTGTTGGAAACTGGGGTTTGGGGACTGCAGAAAAGGACCAGCAAAGACTCCAGCTGACAGAAGCAGCTGCAAAAATGGCCGTGATAAAGGATGTTTTTGCCATTCTGGGAAGCCTCCTCAGACCTGCCCGGGTCTGTCTCTGCACTGCCTGTCCAACCCCTTCCTTCCCCCTGCCTCACAGACACTTCACTCAGCTGCGTTAAACCCCAGCCTTTTTCTACCCTTCCCTTCCTACCACCATGGGTTTTTCTTAGACCAAATATTGTAAGGTATGTGTCACTGGAGTTTCTCATGCCTGAAATAAAAATCAAAGAAAACTGCAGTACATTGTTTTAAAGCCCTTCCATTCACAAAATTAGCACAATTCAGCCAAGGACAACTTGAAGGTCATTAGAACAGATCCAAGAAAAAAGGCAGGGACTCGTTCAGCTGGCTGTCAAAGACTAGTGCGATTGGGCTTGCTCTTTCAGCAAGAGGCATTTCCTGCCTGTAGAGGTTTAAACACACACACACACACACACACTTACAGTTTACATAAAATGGTAACGTCACTCTACATTACGTTCTATTTAGTAACTTTATCCCCTGCAAAACAGTTCAATGCTACAGAACAATCTGCTACTTGTTCACACAGGATTTTCTGTGGATTCCACAGGATTTTCTATAGGTTTTGTAGTGAATTTATTGTCTGCAAAATGTTTTCTTTCCTCACAGAGGAGACACAGCCCTGTTAGAAGTCAAGCGAGTTTTTCTTGTGCTCTCTTGCCCATCAAGCAGAACTCATCATAAGCTGACAGGGACAATATCTGCATCTAAAACATTAACACGTTAGCTAGTACATGCTGGTGTCCGCCACTAGACAAGGCAAATCTCATTTTAACCCCTGTTGAAGCAAACCCTGGGAATAAATCCAGAGGTTACCTCTGCCAGCAAAGACAGATTGCTGCACATATACTAAGCACCTCAGTTAACACACTATAACTCACCTTTTTTTATTCCCCAGTGAAAGCAAGACCTAGGAGTGACAAACCAGTGCAGAAGCCTTGTGCGGTGCAGTCTTTCACTTCCCAGCTGAAGCTTCTTCCAAGGACATCAGCTCTAGGGGTGAATTTATGACAGGACACTTGTCCGCTAAAACTGAACTTGTCCCCACAGCACACCCAACCCTTGAGTCACCAAATTGCCTTTTCTCCTCAAGGGCTTCACAGATCTAGAGGGTGACTCCTCCTGCCTCTCTGCTGCTGAGATCTCACACTAACCCTCTATATGATAAATAAATGCACTTTTATTCTAAGGCCTATTAATAAATAGGTGCATGCACACACAGATATAAACAAGGTACGTCAATTCTCTTACCTGAGCCGTTTCTACCTTCAGGATGGTTTTGTGAAAGATATTCTCCAAAAGCCCTTGCCGCTCTGCATATCCAAGCATCAAAGAAGGCAGCAAAGGAAAGAGAGAGATGGGTAGTGGTTAAAGGCCAAGGAAAGAAGGAACAGTTCAATATACTGCTGTTTTCCTGCAGCTGCCTTTCCCTCATCTTCAGGTGATGCCAATTTAAACATGCTGCAATAGCAGTGGGGGCTCCCTGGTTAACATACCTCAGTTTTCCTCTGGCCAAAGGGGAAAACAAAGATGGACTACAAGCCCGGGACTATTTTAGTCTTTAGCTTCTCTGTTAAAACTGAAAAAAATTGAAATGCACCTGCATTAAAATTGCACATAGGGACTGGATCACTGTCTCTAACCACCCTGAGTTAAACTCCTTCTGGCAGCCCAGGGAAGAAGGTATCCCCACCCTAGTCCCAACCATCACCCCAGCCTTTTACTCTGGTTCTAAATGCTCCTATCTGTGAGGTATCACAGCTTAGACGTTAATGCTAATACCCATTTCATCTACCTTAACCCTAAGCTCTCAAGCACCAACTATGTTAGTATTTGGATTACTGGACAACCTTATTTGAGGGACCCACACAACAACCCACAAAAGCAGTTCCTGGTTCTGTGATGGATTCAGGTCCCATGGATAACTAAGTTTTTACTGAAATATACTAAGAATCAACCAGGCAGGGTGAGCTCAACCCTTATCACACATCAAGGCCTACATAAGGGAGCAAACCTATGAATATTCCAACCACAGAAAAGCTTTCTGCTTTCAACCCACACAGGAAAAGAATCCTTGGTCGAGGCATGCATTCCCTGGTATACAGTAAATACAATCGCCAGTCTCCTATTGCCAGGACATTTGTAACGTCCTGCTGTTGTGCTTGTTCTCCTGTACCCAACAGACCTGTGACTGAAGAGAGCTAATACCTCTTAGTATTTCTTTTCCCCAGCCATCCATTTTCCCCAAGTTTGTAGAACAATCTCTCCAAGGTCTGCAGCATCACAATCAGGCTGATATTTGCCAATGGACAGTCCAGGGTGGAGGCTCACAAACAGTAAGACGAAACAGCCACCCACCTCCTTGGCAAGCTAAGCCAACAAAACCCAGCAGCCAAGCACTCTCAGCCTGCAAGCACACCAGCATCTGTTGGGGGAGGAGATGAAGACTTACTGCAAGAGAGGAGACTCTCCATACCAAAACATCACGTCCACTGTCCTCTTCCTTCAGAGGTGTTCAACCTCAGAACATCCCTCTCCAGTTCAAGCTGCCACAAAAGGCCACGCTCATAACAGCCATTAATCATCTAAGTGGAAAATTACTTTGACCTCCAAAGCAGCCTTCTGCTTTGCTTACCTGATACAGCAGCATATCCCAACCTGTGTAGCGAGGATTTTCCCCCACTGCTTTTATACACTTCCTCCCAAAAGGGGAAAGATTAACAAAGCTACAATATACCTCCCAGAGCGACTAGAGCTGGAAGGAGTGGGAAGTCCATTTGTCATCCACAGCCAGCAACAGGGGATCGATATGAATGATGAAGAAAGAGTAATTTAATCTCCCTGGGACTAAATTTCAGCACACCCAAATGCAAAATACTTTGGAGCAGCGCAGCCCGAGCTGTGCAAGAAGCAAGGTTTAACCTTCTGCGTCATTACAGGCTAACATACAGTGCTGAGGTTTTTTCTGTTTCCAGATTCTTGCCTGTCTAGTACCAGGCTGTATCTTTAGACACTAGCCTGGGGTGGCAGTTGCCCAAACTGTCTTCCTCAATGCCTAAGCACCCACAGAGATGGTCACACAGAGGCTGTCACATGGGGGAGCTGTACAATTAGCACGCAATCCCCACTACGAAGAACAAAGGGATGACCATCATGGTTCACCCACACAGGAGGACAAGCGCCCCATGGATGTTCCTTGCACCCACTACCTTTCTGTCTGGGCAAAAAGCAGGACTTGGTCCTGGGCCAACACACATGTAAAGTTGGGAGCTGGAGTGTGGCAACTTCAGGGAAGTGGCTGAGTCACCATCTCTGGAGGTATTTAAAAGATGTGTAGATGTGGCACATAGGGACATGGTTTAGTGGTGACTTGGCAGAATTAGGTTTACGGTTGGACTTGATGATCTTAAGGGTCTTTTCCAACCTAAATGATTCTATGATTCTAACATCAGGCTATGCAGCTGCAAGAGCACTCCTGAGCTACTCCTGCACCCCATCTTAAGAGGTGGTTAAGGCTCAGCCAAAGCCACGGCTGATCTCATGTAGCACTGGCTACAGCCCCACTTTGAGCAGATGACCGGGCTCAAGACTTCCAAGATCTCTTCCACCAAGACTTCTGGGACTCCAAGGTTTCCCATCGAAATCTGTGTCCTTGCAAGGCATCATCAACACTATTCACAAACAAGGCACTTACACCCTTGGGAAAGACTTTGAAGCTTCTCTTGTGCATCAGCAGTCATCCCATGTAGAAAAAATAACAACAAGCAAGTTCTCAGGTAAATAATCAGTGAGAGAACATGGTGATTTACACAAAAAATGCTGAAATATGACGATAAAATTTAGTCTGTAACTAGTTCAAAAGCTCCAAGAGCATGTTAGTCCATCTATCATTCTCTCCATTCAACTCTCTGCCAATGCCCAAAGCTGATCTGTCTGCCTTAAAATCTGAACCAACACTTCACCCTTAGCTTGCAAACCACAGGCTCAGAAAATTAGTACCAAGCACTTCCTAAGACCCAAACTGCAAAAGGTTAACATGGAGCCAGAGAGGAGCACTGCCACCCTCCATCCCACCTTGTTTCATGGTGAAAATAGTGTCACTCGGAATAAGAGCCTGAGTTTGAAGGTGCTGCAGTGTCTCTAACCTCACTCTCCTGTTTCCCCAAGCAGATGAGGTAGGAGGGTAAAATCCCAAGTGCCAGGGCTCCCAGAGAACAGGCGATACCCTGACCTCTCCTCACGGGTCAGAAGCACAGTCAAGGAGCACAGAGCTACTCGAAAACGTTGCTGCCTGGCCCAGGCTGAAACTGCAGTTCTGTCACTACCGTTCCACTTCCACTGCTCTCAGACACTGCAGGCCAACCTAAGAACAAACGAATGTGGATGCTTGATCACAGTTATCTAGCGACAGCTAATAAGGCAATGACGCCTGCACAGTACAATGTGCAACTGGGATTTTCCAGCCAATTACACTGCAAACTTCAGACTAATTTTTTTGCCTATTATCTCAGTGGTTCCCTTCTACATTCCTGCTTCCCAAGTGCCACCGGCTTCTCCTTGGCTGTGCCTCAACTGATCTCCCACAGATGTCTGCATGTGCCCTTTGCCAAGGGGACTCTGCTGGCCACGCTAGCTCCTTATGCCTAGTCTCCCCTTGCCAAGCCTTTTGTCTTCCTTCGCTGCCCTCACTGTGCTCACAGTCACCACAGTTTACCAGCATCTGCCCGTATCGTTAACGTGCCATTTTACCCCCTCTCCTTGGCTACCCACTGACTTGATCAAAATAAAGTCAGAGCAAAATTCAAACAGATGGTAGCTGCTCTGTTCACCCCATTCTTTTCTATTTCTTTTATCAACACACTGTATTCATACAAGTCACACAATTGTACTTTTCTCTCAGCTCAGTTTTGCCTCCACTATCACAGCCAACATAGTTCAAATCCCATCAAGCCTTCTGATGGCATTGGACAGAAAACCCTTCAACTGGGCTCAGAGCAGAGACACCTCAGGATAATTTAACGGGCAAGAGATAAAAAAGGAAACTTGTTTCACATAAATGAGATGAAGTACAAGGTGCCTTACAGATACACGGGCCGATGAGCTATAACCCTGAGTGTATGACACTGCAAAAGCTGCATACAAATGAGCAGGTAGTACTGAGAGGTAATCAGCTGATGACATGACAAGTTTAGCCCTGACTCATCTAGAGAGAGGTTTTCATTTTAGTAGCAGATCAGACCTGCATGTTACACAGTCAGCACAGCTTGATTTAACAAAAGGATATCAACCAGGGACCATAGCCTTGGTACGCTGTGCTACTGAGTCTAACCAGTAAAGACAAGACTGCCATTGCCTCAGAAAAAACACCACTATCTTCTCCGGCTTCTCCTCCATCAGAATGACTTCAAGAGTGTGGAGGGCGGGATGGGGTAGCACAACACAGGCAGCAAAGGCAGCTGCCCTTCTGAGGGCATTTTTCAGTACTCACTGTGCATGAGATGTAAAAGCTGGACTCAGGTCTGGAAAAGAAGCTGACTGAGATTCTGCAAAGAAGCATAATGGTCTAGACATATATTTGCTAGAAGGAGGAAAGCCGCCAAATAACAAAGATCTCGATTACAAAGTGATGAGCGTGGAATAGCCTTCATGTCTCCAAAATAATCACATCAACAGGATAAAAGAGGCCTTGATGCATACTAGCAGCTATGAGAAATTGATGCACATAAATTTATGCAATCCACCAAACTGACACTGAACTGAGTGAAGAAATGTGTATTGAAACACTCAAGAGATAGACGAAAGACCTGAGAGAACTCCATTTAGAGCATAGCAGCAAGCTAAGCAAAACCTGGACTATTCAGGATTATTACATGGAAAAATAAAGAACACCCACCACCTTCTCGTGTTCCTTCAGAAGTAATGCCCAGAGGAGTTGCAGCAGGAATCTGTTGTGACAGCATCTGACAGTGCTGCATCTCAGGAAAACAGGAGAGAAGAGACCTCCTGCATCATTAGGACCTACGTGCTCCTACAGCAGCAATCCTGCTCTTGTCACTAAGCAGAGAGGGGAACACCGCCAGCATATCCACAGTTAACAGCTCAGTCCTTAAAGACTGTTGACACCTACATTGTTTAAACCTAATAGTAACAATACCGTGACAACAATTAGTTTTCTGAACTGTCTATGTAGGGAGATGGTAGCTGGAAAATTTCAATTTTAGATTTTAAAATTTTAAATTCTCACTCTCAAGAAAGGGAAATCAGATGTCAG